TGAGATATTAAAAAAATACCAAAAAAAATCTCTTTTATTTTTCATGTTACGATATAACGAAAAATTATAATATTATGTTGGCACTTTACATATTTTGGATCTTGGTAACGTTTAAATATTCAACGGAACGGACCTAAAAATACACCCGTTTATAAAAAAATATTTCATACATTCCTTTTGCAAATGTCTATAATAACATAAATTGATAAATAAGAGAGCAAATGTTTGACTTTTTGAAGGATGATCAATTTACTTTCTTAATATGTTCTGTTTATCAAAATCACTTAAATTAATGCAATTCATTTTTCCGATATTTTTTACAATTTCGAATTTCGATTATTTTAAAAAATATATTTTTATTTCATTAAATTTTGTATGTTTTTATTTCATTTAATCCGAAACTTTGCATTTTTATTCGCATCAATCCTCCAAAAAGTAATATATATTTATAGTATTAAATTAAGATTAGCAATTGAACAATTTAATTATCATTTTATTGATGATTAAATTCATATCATAACAATCATCATTATTAATACAAAATAACAAGTATATAAATTAATATAAAAAGAATATCGTAAAATCTATTTTCAAAGCAATTTCAATATAAGGCACATTTTTTTTTTCTTATATTAACAATAAAAAATGATTAAATCATTAATCACTAATCTTAATTCAATTATACATCTCGGACACATATTTGCACATATTAAAGGCCATCATTTTATACAGATTACTTTTGAGCTATTGAGATCTTGCCGAGAGTATACAACTTCAATTTCAGGTATGTTACAAATTTTAAATAGTTCTCTGGTATACATAAAAAAATAATGCTGCAGCCTCGTTTGAAAAAATTTTGGCATCCTTCTAGCTTGATCTTAAAACGCACTGAACTCTTATTTCGTATTACCATATCGTTCAATTGTTATATTTTTACCGTTTTCGAGGCGACAGTACACAAAATACTATATAATTAATTGTAAAAATCGAATTTCCATCAGTTGACCTACAAATATTTATGAACAATATATACAATATGTACATACAATGCATTCGATTTTTTTGATTAAGTCTTTGAGCGTGTGTATTATTGATTATTAGAGTAAAAACATTACATACACTGGAATGATATTGTCCCATATCACAGAAATGTCGCGTGTGTTTGTTGTATCCACGTTCTTCAATGATGTTTCATTTTAACTAACTTTGAACAAAAGAAATTGTGGATAGATTTAACAAAAAATTATTCATGCAAAATTATATTAAGTAACTGAAGAAATAATTTATTTCTTGTATATTAAATGATAAATAATTTAGAAATGATTTAAAAAAAAAACTTATGCCGTGAATTATTATTATATATATAGAAAAATGTTTAAAAAAATAATGAACTCTTTTACTGAATAATTTTCTAATTTACTTTTTATATATACATAACAAAGGCAAAATAATTTTATTTTTTTCATTATAAATCAACCTATTCGGTTGGCTTAATTTATTAATAATTTATTTATAATTTAATTTTTATATTCTTTTTTTTGACTGTTAATGTGAGCTTATTTTAATATATTCTATATAAAATTATTCATTGTAATTAAAATACAAAAATTTATATATTTATATTAAAAGATAAATATATATTTACATATATATGAGCTTTTATATATTAAATATTATGATAATACACCGTAAAATTTTTTTTATAAAAATTTAAAATTTTGAGAAATTGTTTAAAAACTATTCTATAAAGAATGTTTTAAATTGATTCAACATATTCAAAAGGAATCTCTTCACAAATTTATATGAAATTACATATAAATAAAAATACTTCATTAAGTAATTATAAGAAAAATAAAAAATTCAGCATATATTAAACAAAGCCATCATATCTGCTTTTTTTAATAGAATGTGAATATTTGATTTCTTATATTTTTTTAATAAAATATTTGATCTCTTGAATATGTTGTATTAATTTCTTCTATAAAATAATCATCGTTTTGTTAAAAAAATAAGATAGAAAAATGAAAGTAAATGCAAATATAAACTTTTGAAAATATCATATAATTCTAAATTTAAAATGCTTAATTATCTAATAAAAATATAAAATTATAAAATCTTTTTTAAATTATGACAATAATTAATGAATTTAAAATACTTATTTATTTTGAAAATAAAATAATATAAACTTTATTCTATAATCCAAAATTATTAGAATTAATTTAATTAGTAAAGAAAAAGAATGCAAAATTTTAATTTTTGTTTATTATTAAATATCAATAAAATTTTAAATAAATTCACTACATTCTACTAATTAAAATAAAGAGCTATAATTTTGGCACACCACGAATTTTTTAAATTCACAGCATAAGATTTTATATATACTTTTGCAATAAATAGAGAGCATTTACATACACAAAGTAATGAGATATTAATTGAACATGTGGAATTAACGAACGCAGATCTTTTCACGACATTT